TTAATATTATCATTATATACTGTTATTAACAATAACAGTACCATCATGTCATCAGTACTGTTACCACCATCTTGCAACTACAACTCTTTGCACCTTACCTACCTATTTATCTTTTTTATCTTTTCTATCTAAGTATTTTATTCTATTGTATTTGAATGTACCTGGCTGCTATGACGACCCAATTTCCCTTCGGGGATTAATAAATTCTATCTATCTATGATAATAAATCAGCGTTACAGAAAGGGATGGGGTTTTTGTCTTAAACTCCCCCTTAGCCCTCACAGTACTGACATGTTCTTGGTTTAAAAGGCTGAAGCTTTCCAGTGTACTCAAGCGTGCAATGTACACCTTTTTAGGCTCTAATTTAAGCCTCTCCAGTCAGTTCAGAGAGCATGATGTTAATCCTCTACTGCCCTAGATCAGAATATACAACCTGTCCAACTTTTGAGGACATGGTCAAATATAAGCATTCATGACTAAAGGTTTCTAAGAACATAGAGCAACTTCTAGGAAATAAATAGCCATTTAAGTTTATTCTCACCTTAAATATGACACAGTATTGCCTGTTGGATTTAATATGTAATGTTTTTGAATGCCATGAAGAATGCCGGGAAGCAAAGAGTTATATTTGTGACTGTGCCTTTAAAACGTTACTTCAGTGAACCACACTGGGTCCGCAGCTGTTCAGTGTACATACAGAGATATAACCTAAAGTTGTCACGTGACGGTGCCGATTGCATTGCATGTTTGAAGCTCAGCTTTAAACGGCCAGCAGATTCTTTGCCAACTAACCTTTGAAATGTCCAGTGAGAGGGTGAAGAAATTTAGTAAATGATTGCATCACGGGGATGGAAATGTGTATTTTTCTGTTCATGATTAATAAATACACTGCAGTGCTACGAGAGGAGAGGGTCTTCACTGGATCAAATCACTGTGAACTATGACTTGAGCCGATTTTCCCTTATATCATACTGCAAGATGTATTGTCTCATAGAGTTTTCTTACAATAGTCAGTTTGACCTCTAAAACACAGGTTGAATTAATAACTGCTCCATTCAAGTTAGGTGTGCCCGTTTTGGAGTTGTGCTGTTGCTCATGCTGGTTCACTGTCATGGCTAGAGAGAGAGAGAGAGAGCTATTATTAATGTTATTAGTTACACCTGTGCAGTTCCTGCTATGCTAAGGCAAAATGTCTGATAAAACAAAGGTCTAATTATTAAATTAAACAGTGAATAAATGAACGTTTCTCTTTGTGTTTCTCTTTAACAGTCACCATGGTGATGAAGTCAGCAGTCGAGGATGATGATGCTGGCTGGGGGTTGGGCATCCCAGAAAAGATGAAGAACAATGCCAACTGGGTTGATATTACACATGAATTCAAGGGCGCATGCAAAGGTACAGGCTCTTCCAGTAATTGTGTGTGTGTGTGTGTATGTGTGTGTGTTTGTGTGTGTGTGCGAACGTGTGTATAAGAGAGAGTCATATGTGTGCAGTTATGAAAGGGACTGACGTGTTCCTCTTTTTCTCTTTCCTTGTCCTCATCCTTTATTTATGCAGAGTTGAACCTTGGAGAGTTGCTTCATGACAAACTGTGAGTAGGAAAAAAAAAGAGGTTTTTGCAAACTCACATTTTAAAGGGTCAGTTCGCTCAAATGATCATAAAGAAGAAGTCTTCAGTCAGCCAGCTAAAAAACTGATTACCACTGATTTCAATAGAGAGTTTTCATTACCCAAAGTATAAATTCTGTTTCAAAACATTGACAAGACAGAGTAATTGCTGTAAAACACAAAATCCTTGTAATTGTTTGGTATGATCAGCTATTGGAAAAGTCCCCAAATATCCGGATTGGTATTGGTCTTTAAAATCCAATATTTGTTGAACCTTTGTAAACACGCATGCAAAAACAGATACTAAACATCCTGCTCTGGTGGCAGGTTTGGCCTGTTTGAGGCCATGTCAGCCATAGAGATGATGGATCCTAAGATGGACGCAGGAATGATTGGAAACCAGGTCAACAGGAAAGTGCTCAACTTTGAACAAGCCATCAAGGTACAGTACCACAGACCTCTCGTTGCCTCACAACAAAAACTGTTCCAGCGGATTAAATTGTCAACTCTGACATTGTTCAGTTGAATTATTTTGTGCATATAAACAGTACTAATATAACCACCAAGTTCTGAGTCATTTGTATTACTCACTCTCTTGTGTTTGTTGTAGGAAGGTGCCATCAAGGTGAAAGACCTTAGTCTTCCTGAACTTATTGGGATCATAGACACATGTTTCTGCTGTTTGGTGAGTTTTTACCTTCTTTCTTCTTTCACAGAAAAGACATTTTACATGTTTTAATTCATACATACAAACTTTACAGCCGTTTTATATTGACTTATCACTATGGCAAACCAATTTGTAGTGAAACCCAGTGTGTGCATGTTTGTGTGTATTTCTAGATTACGTGGCTAGAGGGACACTCCCTGGCGCAGACTGTGTTCACCTGTCTGTACGTGCATAACCCCGACCTGATTGAGGAGCCAGCCCTTAAAGCCTTTGCCCTGGGCATCCTTAAGGTGTGTGACATCGCCAGAGAGAAGGTCAACAAAGCTGCTGTGTTTGAGGAGGTAAGCAACTCTCTACTTGCTGTCAGTGTATGTGTGTGCATCTGTTATACTGCAATTCAATTGATGGGAGCCGTTATTTTATGAAGCAGTATTTGAGTTATTACACACATTTTCACATTCCCTGTGGGTCATTTTTATTAATGGTGTTTCTGCTCTGCCCATTTGTATTATTTATTTTAAGGAGAGGTGCAATTGTCCATTGATAACTCAGTGTCTAACCTCATATTTGACTGTAGGAGGATTTCCAGGCCATGACCTATGGCTTCAAGATGGCCAATAATGTCACAGACCTGCGGGTGACAGGTACTGTATTGTGATAGTTCATCAAGTCTGCAGCTTCATGTATACTGTGAACAACCATTATATATTTATACTGTTGGGTCAGAGTAACAAGGATAGTTAAGGTCATCTCTCTCGCTCATTTGTTCTTCCTACCAGGTATGCTGAAAGATGTGGAGGATGAGTTGCAGAGGAAAGTTAAGGTATTTGTTCTAAGTCACAGTCTTTGCAATATCAATGAAATATGACTGATGGTGAGTGTTACATTGTTTATTGTTTTTTCTCTCCTGCGGCCTCAGAGCACGCGTAGTCGACAGGGTGAGCAGCGAAACCCGGAGGTTGAGCTGGAGGTACGTCAGGACATTTTTTTATTTATTTTTTGTTAAAATGCACATTATTGGAATAGTGTGTAGACTACCTGAAAGCTAAAAACTAGTTGTTTCTGACGTCTGTTTTCAACATAAAATACATAGGACTACATGTAGCAGATCACTGTCCCTGCTCTTTAATAAGTAAACCTACTATTCCAACATTTCAGCCACAAACTAAACCTTGAACCCTTCTTCTCAGTCTCTGCCTGTTATAATTTGTTTTCCATCTGTCTATCAGTGTGTGGGACTCAAATGACCTTTTGAGACTCTACTCTGGAATTTACTGTAATAAAAATAATAATGAAGGAAGAAAAGATAAAATCAGACCCAAAAATGGACTTTGTCTGGGTGGTCAAAACAAAACCTTTGTAATTCAAAGACAAATTTGGAAATGTTTATTAATAGCTTTGCATGTACATGAAACCCTGTTTAATGGTCTCATACTTTATTTTTTCCAGCATCAGCAATTTTTGGCACTTTTCAATAGAATCAAGTTCACTCGCCTTCTACTGACTGCACTGATCACCTTCACCAAGAAAGAGGTAACACAGATACAAACACACACAATCAGACATAATACATTAATAACGAGTGGATTTTAAAGTGTTCCCCTGCTTGATACCAAGCAGTGAAGAGGATTGTATTAAAGTATCTTTGTCATTTGCTTTCATTAGTTTTTGTTTTGTTTATGGTTGTATCATTTTTATCAGACCAGCTCGGTTGGCGAGGCCCAGAAGCTCGTGGCTCAGGCAGCTGACCTCTTATCAGCCATTCATTCCAGTATTCAGCATGGCATCCAGTCACAGAATGATACCACCAAAGGAGGTAACACACACTCACACACACACACTTTTCAGCACACACACACACTTTGGCTTGGCATGCGTTTACATACCAGCAGCTCTAAAGGACTACACACACTCAAGTACACACACCTTTTAGCCTTACGTGCATGCAACTGTGCATAAATTATACGCATTCTTGCTCATCCATCGAGCCAGTTTTGTAGTCCTCATGGCAACCTAGACAAAAATGTGACTCCTCTACCTCAGCAAGACACACACACAGCTAAAAAAGCAAGAAAGAAAACGTAATAGTTAATTCTTATCTTACACTCTCTTTCACTCTGCTACATTAAGCTGACACAGCCTCTTAGAGGAGATTACTTTATAATTACAAAATGTGACCTGTGTTAACCTTGCTGTGCTGTGTGCTGCAGACCATCCCATCATGATGGGCTTTGAGCCCCTGGTAAACCAGAGACTGCTGCCACCTACCTTTCCTCGCTATGCCAAGATCATAAAGAGGGAGGACATGGTGGCCTACTTTGGCAAACTCATAGAACGCATCAAGACCGTCTGTGACGTGATCAACACCACCAACCTGCATGGCATACTGGTAAACACACGTTTTCAGATCTTTTCTTTACATTCTGAACCAGAAATGTTTAATAATGAGCTATTTCAGTGATGAAGGCATATTCATAGTGTTTGTGGTTTTACCAGGACTTCTTCTGTGAGTTCAGTGAGCAATCTCCCTGCGTGCTCTCCAGATCTCTTCTTCAAGTGAGTTAATAATTTAAGTTTTGAGTCACTGCTTTATTTTTGAGGCCTACAGAGGAATTACTTGAACTTTGCGTACAGCTTTTATGAGTTCACATACATGACCAGTAAATGAAACTCTTAGACGATATCATATATTCTTATCGTTAAAACGTATCAGTTTAAAACCCAGTGTATAATAGCTAAACAGCTTGTTTTCCAAAATCCAGACAACGTTCCTGATAGATAATAAGAAAGTGTTTGGGACCCACCTGATGCAGGACATGATTAAAGATGCTCTGAGATACTTCGTCAGCCCACCTGTCCTCTCCTACAAGTAAGTCTGTCATTGGTTAAATGATTAAACGCTTAACATATATGAATCATTTAATGTCATTTGACTCTTTAAGTTATTCATTTATTAATTGGTTGATTTGGACCTTTCTTTTTTGTGTGTAAACATAATATGCATATTCTCATCTTATTTTGTCTGGAGATGTTTATTCTGTGTGTGTGTGTGTGTGTGTGTGTGTGTGTTTGTGTTGTTGTGTGTGTGTGTGTGTGTGTGTGTGTGTGTGTGTGTGTGTGTGTGTGTGTTTCTACACCTGTCTCTCTCCAGGTGTTGTCTGTTCAACAACCACCAGGCCAAGGACTACATTGACTCCTTTGTTACGCACTGCTCCAGGGTATGTTACCTCTACTGTACACCTCAGCTGCTCTGCTTTCACTTCAGCATAAGTCTGTTTGAGTAGTTGAATTAAAAAATTATTAGTTAAGGAGGAGATACCAGTTTGTAAAATTACTGTCTCAAAAAAGTGGTGTGAAATCTAATGAGGTGTAAGGATAACACAGGACATTTTTAGTTCTGTTATTAAAGGATTTGTTCATATTTTAACACTGCAAGTTTTAGAAAGTCTGTGTTTATTTTTGTGGGTTTTGTTTTTCTCCCTACAGCCATTCTGCAGTCTGATCCAGATCCACGGACACAACCGAGCTCGGCAGAGAGACAAGCTTGGTCACATACTTGAGGAGTTTGCCACACTGCAGGACGAGGTGAACTGCAGCAGTTTCCTCTGTTGTATTCCTCGTTTTTCTTTCCTATTAAGCACAACACCACTGTGTTTGCATTTTTTGCGCTTCACAAGTCAGGCAGAGATAATACGCAATCGGAAAGATTTAGTTGTATATTAATGAACCTGTTGCGCCATATCCCTCTGTTGTGGTTTTCTTTCAACCACTCTGAGTTGTGATTTCATAATTTATAGACCAACTACTAAATTCTCTTTTTTGCACTCTGCAGGCAGAAAAGGTGGATGCAGCCCTGCATAGCTTGCTGATGAAACTTGAGCCTCAGCGACAGCACCTAGCCTGTCTCGGCACCTGGATCCTCTACCATAACCTGCGGATCATGATCCAGTACCTGCTGAGTGGCTTTGAACTGGAGCTGTACAGCATGCATGAGTACTACTACATCTACTGGTGAGAGCGCACACGTTGGTTTGTTGCTGGCTCTAACTGGAAGGCACAAACTCCCAGTTCCAGACACACGCAACCAGATCTCTCTACAGGTGCACTTAGTTTTTATCTGTGAATGAATATATGAATTGTTTTCGACTGTAGGTACCTGTCGGAGTTCCTGTACGCATGGCTGATGTCCACTCTGAGCAGAGCAGACTCCTCTCAGATGGCAGAGGAGCGGATTCTGGAGGAGCAGCTGAAAGGACGCAGCAGCAAAAAGACCAAGAAGAAGAAAAAAGGTGTGTGACCACATCCTACGGATCAAAACGTCATTGATTGTGGAAGTGTGATCTCCCTGTAGGTGCTTGTCATATTAATAAGTTTGGGTTTGTTCTGCAGTTCGTCCTCTCAGCAAGGAGATTACGATGAGTCAGGCATACCAGAACATGTGTGCTGGCATGTACAAGGTAGGACATCAGTACAGACACACTTTTGACAAATCTTCTTCTGTTTGACACACACGCTGCATTATTGTTCATCCTCTCTCTGCCTGTGTCTCTCTCCTCAGACTATGGTAGCTTTGGATATGGACGGGAAGGTGCGTAAGCCTCAGTTTGAGTTGGACAGTGAGCAGGTTCGCTATGAGCATCGTTTCGCCCCCTTCAACAGCGTGGTAACCCCCCCACCTGTGCACTACATTCAGTTCAAGGTACTGGAGCAAGCTCTTCACATTATTCTTGTCCTTTCTCCTCCATCATATTCCTATCACCGCCTTTTATCTTTCTATTGTGAGTCATTTCCTTTTTGAAATCCAAATTTCCTGCTCTCTCTGACTTCGCCCTTGTTTTCCTTTTCAGGAGATGTCTGATCTGAAGAAGTATAATCCTCCGCCAGGCTCCGCTGACCTCTATCTGGCCGCCAGCAAACACTTCCAGCAGGCCAAGCTCATCCTAGAAAATGTGCCCAGCCCAGACCCTGAGGTCAGGAAAATTTAACTATTATGAAGTAAATGCCAAAGAAAGCAATTTAGTGTTTTATGTTGTTCAGATGTTCATTTGCTAAAAATCTATTCCTGAAAAGATTTTAAATTTAAATGTTAGTTTTGACCTTTTCCAATGTTCTCGTCTATCTATAATGATTGATAACAGGTGAACCGTATACTGAAGGTGGCCAAGCCCAACATTGTAGTCATGAAGCTCCTGGCTGGAGGCCACAAGAAGGAGACCAAGGTAACGCAATATACACATTCCCTGGATTGTCATTTAATTCTGTGGATATAATTAATACAAATTAGGAACTTTTATGTAGCTCTATAAATTGTGTTAAGCTGCCACACAAAGGAAAAAGATTCCAGTTCTGAAAAGAAATGTCTAAAAAATGGGTAATGCCTATATGGTGGTGTTTATTTGACATGCACTGTGATGGGGTTGCTGTTTTATATTGTGGAAACTTTTGTTTTTATCTCCAGGTGCTCCCAGAATTTGACTTCTCAGCTCACAAGTACTTTCCTGTGGTCAAGATTATCTGATTCTGCTCCGCACCACAAGTTGATATGAAGACCTTCAGCTGTAAAGACCGTACCCTCACCTGAACAAGTGTGCAATTGCCCTGATCCAGTCATTGTCTGAACAATGTGTGTGATACACCTTACTGTAAAGTGTGTAAAGGAGTGTTTGAAACACCCGATTCTTTTTTTCACTTGAATGAAAGATGTGACACGAGAAACCAGACTAGAGAACACACAACTGGACCTAAATGAGTGACAATATCCACATCTGCATATGTGTATGTTTTGTGTATGTGTATGTGTCTGAGTGTGTGTGTGTGTGTGTGTTTGTGTGTGTGTATGCCCGCATGAGAGTCACAAGTCGAGGTGCTTTTTGCTCAAAGAACTGGCCAATGGAAATTTTTATAAGCTGCCTCCAGAACAGTCTTATGACAGAACAGCTGTAATGATAACGGGTGCATATCATTCAAACATATGAAACCTTGCTATGTATTTATGTGCTCATCTGAATGAAAATGTTGATCCTGAAAAGACTACAGTATCTTGTCATACCTTGTAGAGCACCAGTTTCATATGAAGGCAATTCAGTTTCATTTTAGAGATCCCAAATTCCCACTAGCGGTGGTTCAGCGGAGATACTTTCCGGGCCAGTGAACCATCAGTGCTGCTTCCTCAAAGCATCACCAGCAACTCAAGAAGACTGAAAAGCTGCAGCCTTCACATATCTTGAGAACACAATAAAACACGTTTTTTACTGTGGTATCAATTAATATCCTGTCAGAATTACTTGCTGGAGAAATAATTTCCAGTTTTCAGACAATAAAATCTGTTTATAATTTAATTTATAGTTCAAAATCCAAAGTGAAAAACCTTTTCTACAGATTTTTAATATGGACATGCTGCACATCGTTAGATCAGTTAATTTTACCGAAACCATGAGCACCAAAGTAATGTTTAAATTAATAATTTGTAATTGATATGTTATTCAGCAGCCTATTTTTTATACAAGTAATATTCATACTGGTTTATATGATCAATTTTAGTTTAAAATTGATATTATTTGTGCCATATAGATGCCTGTCCCAAATAAAGGCAGGTTTATTTTTAAGTGTTATGGTAATCCAGATGTATTGAGATACACACCATTATAAGTCAACAGTGACAAAGAGGGACATTTATGAATTGTGGGTACTAGAATAAAATAAGAGTGTAATCTGAAGTGGAACTAAGCTGTGGTAGAGTACAAGGAGAAAGTTGCTCTGTTCTTTATATACTGTATGGCTGTACCCATGTCCCTTGTGAAGTGAAAGTATGACCAGAATTTGAAAGTAGGCAAACTCCTTTGGAAATCAATCATTTGATATTCAAATACACGGTAAAGAGATAACACATGAACAGAGGTGGAGGTCACACATTTTTATTCATAGAAGAAAATGAGTATTGAATATTGAATATAACCCACAATAGGAAGGTAGTAAAATAAATTTCCCCTTACATGCCTAATGTAAAGTACCAAACCAGTGTAACAAAATTGGAATTCACTCCTAATCTTTTCAGTTTTATTCTAAAACAAACTACTTTAACATGAAATTAGCTTAAGAAGGCAGGTGATTGTGATAATAAATGAAAAAATAGGAGATATTTTAAGTACATGTGTGATTTTTGTATTAACCTCCAAGCTTCACTCTCACTTTTCCCGCATGGTTTTCTCAATCCACTCCCTGTAGCGACAGATATCCAACATTACAATTGTGTTTGCACACTTATCAACGGGGTCGCTGACAATAATCCCGTGTAAAACATTGTTATACTCCACAGCCGAACCTGCGTCACCCTGGAAAAGAGAAATGGTGTCATTATTTCACATTTGTCACAATCACAAAGTTTGATGATAAAAAATAAGAACTGTATGCTTACAAAGCAGGACTCCACGCCGGCTTTAAAGGCACACATGGTGGTAGTTTCATCACTGTGGTATTTGCTATCAGGTTTATCCCCCTCACCACAGTCAGCAATTTCTGTGCTGGAACACTTCAGATTGCTGGGGATTTTGTCCTCTAAGGATTTGAAAACAATGCATTAGATGAAATTACTTCTATTTTAATAACCTGAATGCAGTGTCTTGGTGTTGCTCACTTGTCTTGTATCCCCAGCCTCCGACCTCAACCTGCTGACCCTTATCTGGTCTGCTACACCCAACAGGAGGTAACTTGATGGTGGGGAGTTTAGCAGATACATCCTCTTTTAATTTAATGAGCATGATGTCATGGAGATGCTCCTCCTCATCCTTGAAGGTAAACTGTTGGTCGGTACTAATGTCTTGCTCATATTTTTTGGATGATCCTTTCAAGAAAGACCATGCTTTTGTTAAAAAAGAGACGTCATTGTTTAGGCCAAGCTTCACTTTCACACGTCTGCAGAACAAAGGAGAAGAAAACTTATAGTTAGGAGATATAATTATGCAAAATAATTTAAAAAATATGAATTGGTTGATTTCATTCTGTATTATTTTCCTTTTAATACCTGATGCAACTTTCTGAATGGTAAATTTGCCTCTATGGACAGCTGTAATATTACTTTAACTTTACAGTACAGTATCTATGTTACACCTACATTTTAGCACCAGTTTAGAACGTTTTTGATACCAATTTCCTGTCATTATTCTACAGTATTGATGCAGAAGTGAACCAATTCTGAATCACTCAGACGAGAACACATCCAAACTGCATCGTGTAGGATGGAGTGAGGATGTTTCTTACTGGTCTGCACAGTGAGAAGCAGTGATGACCCAGCGGGTGTTGAGCAGAGAGCCTCCACAGAACTTCCCGCCCTGGAAACTCTCAATCTGGACATGGTACTGCCTGTCCTTCTTACAGGATGCACCCCCAATAATCCTCTTCTCAATGGCCCCTGATGCAACACCTGACAAATGGAAGGAGAGCAGACGCTGTGCATACTGTACAAGTTCAGGCTCATAATTGGTTTCACAACAGTAAACTTTTATGGGACATCTGTCAGACAGTTACATGCAAGAATGAATAAAAATCTTAATGCATTGTAGTGGAGATTGGAAAAACTTACCAGCGAGCACAAAAACAAGGGCAAAGCAGAGCCACTTCATGGTCCCTCTGATCTACAGTAGATCTCTTCAGGTGGCTGACTGTTGTGATGCTTCACCTTTTTATAGTGAGCATCAGATTTTGCACTTTTCTCCTATTGGCTGATACTACGAGGAGTTACAAGGCTACAGGAGGCCCTCGGCACCCTCCCAGTGGACCTTTCATTATACCCAATATGGCAATAGAATAAACTGTGAGGGTGGAACAAGGAGAAGACTGGGACAAAGATAAAGGACTTTTTTCATTTTTAATGCACACGCCACGTATGAATTGCTTTGAACTGTAAGAGCCAGTATCTTTGTTTTAATAATGATTATTTTCCATATTTACTACATATTTGCACTGAGACATTTTATTTAAAATCTTGCAACATTAGTTTAGGCTGATGTATATATGTGTATATGTCTTTTTTTTACATTAAAAATGAAACAAACAATAGCGTGTCAATACATTGTTTAATGCAGGTAATGTGTTACATGAAATTGGTTAACACTATAGATCACCAATTCCTCTGGAGTCCTTTTTGCATCATACTAAAAACAACAAAAATATTAGTTTATTATTAATGGGAATGAAATTTAACAAGTTCTTACAGGTCTTGTATGAAATTTGATTGATGGTGCTAATAATAATAGTAATAATTATTATTGTTGTCGTTATATAGTTACTATTATTAGACTTGCTTGTATGTATTTGTATATAGGTTATTATTTATATATGTATGTATGTATGTGTATATATATATATATATATTGTGTCCCTTTCTTTTAAAATTCTTCTTTACTTCTACATTTTTATCAGGACTTCCTCATTTTTATAGTGATTTCTTCCAGAGCACCAAATCATAACAGCAGTTATCTCAAGACATTCACATATAGAGCAGGTCTAGGCCATACTCCTTATAAAATATTCATGTATTTTATATTTTATTCCCATCTGTATTTATTTTGTTCCGACAGCTGCCCCCCCTGACTGACTGTACACACTCACACTGGGCACAAAACACACAGGATAGTCTGCCCTCCTCTGCACAGCATATACGTATATCTTGACTTCGTCTTAAAGCAATATGATTAGGTCTTAATGTAAGAATGAACATTGTATCACTGTAGAACCACGGGGAAGTGTTGTGTGAAAAAAGTGTTTGGACGATCTGTCCTTTAAGACCACACAGAAATATTTCACAGTTTCACTTGTGAATCAACTCACTGACAGTCAACTTGGAATTACAACTAAATATGCAAACTGTATACGTAATACCTCTGTGATTAAAGCCTGAATAACAAGCCATTGATTTTGTATTTAAACTTTTTATGACAGAAACTGTTTATGTTCAATAGTAATAAAGTTAATTATAAAATCTAAATCAACATACAATTTTATCATTCAGCATGTGACCTCTTCCGAGTCATGTCTTTGAGTGTGGGCAGTGTTTTGAATATTCTGATACGATTGGCCAACGTCAACGGTCACATGGCGAGAGATATCTCGGTTGGAACCAAATCATCTTCTTATTTTACTGTTCACTGGTTTATTTGCTTATCTGTTGAAATGTATCTTCAATCTAGATAGTCAAGCTGCATGCGTAAAACATGTTCTCTTAAAAGCTTGTGAACGCTGTGTGTGTGCTTGCAGCTAACTGTTTTATGTTACTATTACAGTGTGAACTGCGGAGGATATACCCTTCACCCTGGTTTTATTTTATGTTTTTTAAAATGTATCACAAGTAATAGTCACACCAAACAATAAGTCCCATGTCAAACCATGTCTTGATAGTGGTAATAAAACAATTTTTATTCTCTATCATCGATAAATCCTATGATTATTTAAACCTTTCACAAATTTGTTCAGCAGTTCAAAACAAAATACAAACATATGAAATCAACAAAAAAAGAGAATCCAATTTATAAAAAATCATTTCATTTTCATCAACATTTTCTCTTCAGGTACACAGACTCCTAGTTCAGAAAATGGGACTTTTTATACAAATAGGCAGACAAAGCTTTCTTACAAAACAAAACTGTAGTTGTCTGAGCTCTGCAGGGTCAGGCAACAAAACCGAAAACAAACGACAATAATACAAAAAAATTAAATCTCAGCAACAGTAGTAGTTCCCCTGCAAGATCAACCAAAAGGGAGACAATTAACCTGCCAACAGCAGTCAGATTCCAGATTTGAATGGTTATTTTAAAACATGATGACCAGGCCCCGTTTAAAAAAAAATAAAAAATAAAAAATAAGTTAACAAAATTGATACGACTTAGGATGAGAAATTAGATTTGAAATTTAAAATTTCTTCGGAAAATGTTTGGAATATTTTATTTTGGTTCCTGAAAGGAAAAGTTACCTGATGAAGTCGTTTGTACTGAAATGTTAGACTCTTCATCACGTAACTCATTTTAAATTCCAGTGCAAGTTCTCAAAGTCTCCAAGGTATCAAAACATGCTGAATTTAGAAGGAAACGCATTTAAAAGTGTACTACACCATCTGATTTTGCCTTTTTGGTGAAAAGATAGTCATTTGTTTTGAAGAGCTTACACGAAATAAGCATGAAAAAGTTTTTATGACGCCTGTAGAATCGTGTATTTGTAAATATGAAGCTTATAATGAGAGCAGCAGTCAAATTATTCAACTCTACAATGTTCCTGTTGTTATTCTCTCTGTGCTTCAAAAGTGAAAAAGACAAAAAATCTGACAAAATGTATGACAATGTATATCCATATATTCTGAATATATGGCTGAACCTTTAACATCATTGGGGGAACTCTATAGGTGCGGTGCATTTTATCATCGTAGAGACATTTCACTAAAATTCAGCGTCTGTTGGGAAACGTACTTAACTGTGGCTAAGCAGCTTCAACCTTAACTAACTGTGGTTGAAGATGTTAAAACAATTTAAATAGACAGGATAACCTTTGGAGTCATCAGATTTCAGTTATCTCCTGCACACCTGTCTTTGTGTCAGCCAGGTGCATAAGAGGTGAACTGTACATGCAGAGTATAACACGCACATTGCATTTGAACTACCTAGTGTAATCACACAGAGACAGATAGGCAAATAATGGGAGTCTAGGAAGATAACTTTCCACTACATGATTCTTCGTTGAGAAGTAAAAGCATTATGGAAATTATGGAAATTATGGCATTGCACTACAACGTACTGAGTTACTGTGGGTGTTAGTCAAAGTCACAATTTACAGTACCTGGAAAATAACATAAATCATCTGTCCTGTATAAAACACAAGGCAAAAAAAAAAGATCCCGCTACAAAATATAACAAACTTTTCATTATTTCTGATACCTAATATTAGTTTGTGTTCGCGATCATCCACACAATTTCCAGTCTAGTGCAGCTTCAAGTTGGATGGACTAATACTATTTTTGCACTACTGAATAATTCACATCTACTGGCTGAACGCGCTGTTCCTGCTTCAAGGGAATGTCCTTCATAATGTTACAGCAATTCTCAAAAAAATCCCCCTCCACGTTCTCCACAAAACATACGTCCGTTCAATTCAGCAGAGGCAGCATCCACAAAACTCTGAGCTCAACACGCGACCTCCGCTGTGAAGCAACGGACCGTAGGGGGAAACTGGTGTACGCACAACTGATAAGGCATGCATCAAAACAAAATGAGATTGTTTATCTGCAAATATCCGGATGGTCCAACCTATTCCCTTCATTATAATCTAAAAATGTTACTCTAACCATTCTGTCTTACTGATCCCAAATGTTGAGCGCAGCACGCACCGTCTGTGCTTGTGACACTGATCCCAAATACAGCTAAGAATAAAAGGCTTGCTGCCACTGAAATACCAAAAGCCATTCGACAAACTGAGACTTCAGAAATGATTGCTCATTGTTACAGCAATTATAATATAATTATTATTATCGTTAATATAATTATTGTAATATAGTATGTTTAAAACCTGGCAAAGTCTAATCCAGAAGGTGAATTTGCCTGCTTGTTATGTGTCAATCAAGAGAAGCTGCTGTTTAGCATCACAATTGGACTCCGCAGTCTAACAAGAATCTCGGTACGTTCCTTTAACTTGCTGCAGTTACGGAAAGCCTCATTTGTATTTTTGTAGAGCAAAATGTCTTGGCCCTAGGAGAGACTGTACAATAGTAAATTAAGGCATTGTTTCAGATGCTGTTGAACCTGTGGAAGAGAAGATGTCTGTGCTGCATGACGAGCTCTGTCTTTGGGATCGCTCAGATCATTTACACTTAATTCAATATTTCAAACTTCATAACCCTATAAGGGTTTGCACATTATCATCACTTATGCTGCATTTAAGTTAAAGTCATTACAGAGTGAACATACACAATACATCTAATCACATAATCAAAATCTACTGATTTCCAGGCATGTTGAGATGTACAATTGTTCAAGCCAAATGGTGTCAAGTCTTGAGACGTAGAGATGAAGAGTATGTATGAGTATGAAGAACTACGAACTAAGCAGGTGCTGGACTGAGTGCCTTCATATCATCTCAACATACTGAAATGAACAGTCACCACAATAAACACCCCTCTGGGCTTTATGTACAAGGTGTGGATGGAAAACATGAGAGCACATGCTGAGCTGACATTTGCATATTTCACTTTTTGTGGCTCTTTCAGAATATTGTGAATTGGATATGAAGCTGTAAATATTCTTACACGACTACAGAAAACGTGACACTTTCAAATGACAAACATGTAATCAAACCAAATGCACAGAATGCAATTAAGATGACACATAAAAGACATTCCAGTAGGAAGAGCTTATGAAAGGAACGGCCAAACCGGATGTCACAAGTCTTTCTTATAGAAATTTCCATCCGGGTTTGTTGTTTGTGTTCATTGTGTTTGGGGGGGGGGGCTGCATTAACCTGCTGTGCTGACGTGTTTAACAGGTCCTGCTTCCTAATGTGGTGTGTGGGCTGCTGCTCCAACTCCAGCCCTGCAAGAAGAATTCAAATGTGTGTTAATAACTCAAATCATGCATTTTTGGGTTTTTCGTGGCCACACTTGTTTCTTCTCCGGGCTTGTCAAATCAAGTGGTTTCAGCTGGTGACAACCTGCCACGTCACCACTAGACGCCACTTATTCCTACACACTGGTCCTTTCATATAGCAGTGACAGTGCCTACAGCAGGCCTACATTAAAACCAGAGATCTAAAAAAGCTGCCAAACGTTTCATTATGAAAATATAAAAGCAATCAAACACTGTTCAAGGACAAAATGTCAATAACAGTTGCTGCAAACTTATAGATGGACATGTGCCAAATGCTTTTTCAATAATTAATTTCATGGCAGCATATAAAAAAAATTAAAAAGATACTGTTTATAATCATCAAAAATGTTACTAGACAATAAAATATACAACACGCTCTAAATTGGCAGTTATATAGTCAGCTGAACCAGAAAATCTGAAATCTGTAACCAAATTTATTTCATGAAACCGGATTATTTCCATAACCTTCTCAAGGAAAATAAGACCATAATAATAACGACACAACATTATTATGCAGAGTTCCCATCAGTCACCTGTGGGGGGCAGACTTTAGATTCATCATGCTGTACGGCCTATTTAGCTGCAGGTAGTGCGTACCTTAGATTCGAGCGAGCTCGGCCTGTTTGTCGGCTTCGAACTCGCCTTCGTTCTCATCGTCCCCGTTATAGTCAGCCAGCTCGTCCTCCATGTCCTTGTCTATCAGAAAGTACAATGTGGTTATTGACATGAAACTCACACAAATGCCTTTTTAGCACAGTGCAATTATTAATCTATTAATTAAACTATCAAACTTTAGCTCTGGCTTCTAATGGTCACAGGCACTTAAATATAACCCAAAAGTGGAGACTGAGAATGTACTCGCTCTCCCATTCTCTCTCTTTATTTACACACACTTTTTCAGTTTTAATCTATATACAGTAGTAGTAGAGTAGTACACACATACCCATATTTTCAGGCTGTTTACTCTGCTGTGGTTTCTCCGAATCCACTCTACCCACTACTTGATCGTCATATTCATCTTGCTCCTCAAGTTTCTGATCAATAAGAGACTCGTCTGCCTTCACCTGGCCAACCAGCATGCCTTCCATCCCAGGGTCTGCCTCTGGAGACCAAATGACCAAGTTGTTGTTTACATTTTATTAAAAATTCATCACCTCTTCACTGAGAATGCTGGGACAGGAGTAACCTACCACATGGATATGAGTTGGCACGCTCTCTCAGTTATGTTACTGTTTACCTCGATCAGCGACACAAGGGTGTGAATGACAATCGATCAACTACTAATTCTGTACATATCTACTTTACATTTAAATTTTAAATGTAGGTTAAAAGTATTTCCAAGTAACATTAAGATGTAAAGGTGTAGGTTGTGTAGGCCATAGGGAAAACTTTGTATTAGCAACCATTAACCCTCAAACCATTGAATCATTGTGTATTCATTGGTCAGGAGGTCTGGGGGACATGGTGCTAGTACCTGTGAAGCTTCATATGTCTCACTGTGTGTTAAAACCGTGCCAATGAGGTAGCACTACAGTTGTTTTGTGCTGTGTAGGACATCGTTCAGGCTATCAGTGAATGAAGCCCCATTCTGCAACTGATGCTGTGCCCTTAAAGGTTCACTTGTGTCACTTTAGACATGCAGGGAAGAAAATGTAAGGTAGGAAAACCAGTATGATTGTCTGATATATAAAAGGTGAGCTCTTTACCGTCTGTCTGAGGGCCCTCTTCATGAGCATCCATCAGTCCCATCTCTTTATCCTCGGTCAGATTGTTGTTCAACAGTTTACTGGTGTCTGCCTCGCCCTCGTCGGTGGTGACAGCTCCCTCTGGTGGTAGCAAAATGTCCTGCTTGACTGCGGCAGCTGAAGCTGGAAGAGACTGGGACTCGACTTTGGAGAGATCCTTCGCTGGAAGCAGGTTTACTGGGGCATCAGGAGCTGAGAAAAACGGCAGAAAGCAAGGGAAAGTGTGTAAAAGGATATAGAAAGGTACAATCTTACATACACACACATAAATATCTGTGTCACTGCATGCTTTCATGTGAGAAATTTCAGTAAAACAGACGAAGGCACCCGAACATCCTTGTCTTTTACCATTGTCCACGATGATCTCATTGGTCAGTAGTTCCGGTGGATCATTTTCGCTTGGTGTGTGGCTTACAACAGTGGATGTTTTCACTGCATCAACCCCAGTCACGACCGGTCCGTCATCTTTTTCTGCTCCATCCACTGCATTTTCCTGCCGAGGAGCAAACATCATCATATATAGTAGATACTAAACAACTGGACTTGGCCCTCTGCCCTGATCTAGATCCTGTGGAAAGCCTCCGGAGTAATCATGGTTTAGATCCTTTCCCATGGTTCATGGTTACCTGTGAGGAGACAGCTGGAGGAGGGATGAGCTTCTCCATCTTCTTCTGAACTTCAAGTTTAGCAGCGGCCACTCTCTCATCACACAACTCCTTCTGGGACAGGACCTGGGACTGACAATGGGTCCTGTACAAACACACACAAACATGTTTACCAGGAAGGACGGAAACATATTCACTGGCAATTTATAACAGCAATGGCAGGTCGAGTGCATGTGATACAGCTGAAGCTTACTACCGTCTTTTTTCTTACATGTCATATGTGAGCTTGCTGTTAAGGGTTTTGATGCTGCCTTGGCAACTCTGCAGCTCCTTCTGAAGCTTCCCCAGGTCATCGTTTAGCTGATTCAACTGGCCTAGAGTACAGACGCACGCAATACATAAGAACTGAATTATATTTGCATTTTCTACAGAAGGCCATTTCAGTGAAATAGAGGTAAAATGTTAACAATTTGTCACCTTTAAGTTCCTGTATGGTTTTGGTACTGGAGGAAATGTTCTGCTGCAGTGTGCCCTAGAAGAAAAAACCCACAATACTCAACACAATTGTTTCACAGTTTGTGTCACTTTTTCTCTTCACAATTAGGTTGAGAAACACAACAGTGAGGAAGTCTCTGTCTCTGCTCTTTTAGTGCCCCCAAATTCCTCTGTGATTAGTTTAGTGACAGCAGTTTGACGTGCAGTTTGTGTGCACCTTCTCTTGGCTGCAGGTGTTCTGGGCTCCTTCCAGCTGTCTCTTGTAGAGACTTTCTATGTGGCTTATCTGCTCCTTCTGTCTCAGGATCTCCTCCTGGAACTCAGTCTTCTTCAACTCTGCTACTCCTCGCTCCGCTGCTCCACGGCGCACCTGGCCTTCCAACTCGTACAGCTTCGTCTGAATTACACACACACGCCTTAAGTGACTTGCATTAAATAAAAGGATGCAAAAGGAAATTACGAAATGTGAAAAAAGACCTTCCTATGACCAAAAACCCTGAGAACCAAATGGGGAACTAATGAGGTCTAACTTCTGCAAAAGAGAACCATGCATTGGTAGTGCAGATCTGCATCAACAAAGTCAGGCATTAAAAACCTTTTACATCATTAAACAGCATGTGAACGGTGGCAATTTACATTGTATTTGGTATTTACATTGTCTACTATGCTTAGAAAGCCACAGAAACACTCCCACGTGAACACATGAACACATGTTGATCAACCTACCTGTAGCTCCAGGTTGCGGGAGCTGGATACCCAGTAGTTAAAGCCCAGAACCAGGATACAGGCGATGAGAGCGCCAATCATCAGAGGGGGTGATCTTCCTCCACGACGGCCGTTTCCCAGCCCACCCATAGCTGTCTATAAACTGGACATACACAAGACACAGCGGCAGGGTCAGCACGTTTTCCATTAACTCTATAATTACGTGTCTTAAACAAGTCTTTTTCTGTATGTGAGCTCTTCCATTTTAAAATGCTGCTGCTGATCACATGGCTAAGAGGTGTTTGCTTGTGGTTGATTATTGACATGAAAAAAAAAGGTCGCTATCAGGCCTGTAAGTAGCACTGAGCTATTTTCTGATAATGTCACACACACACGCTCAGCAAACACACAGAACGTGAGATCTTAACAGGAAGACCACATTTTAAAGAACATGCAAAAAGATCTGTTTGTTCCTGACTCAATTACAATGTCTGCTGGATGCTGAGAAAGCACAGGTTCCTCAAACAGCTGTTCACTCATACCAAGATTAACAAGTCTTTCACTTCTACTGCTGCAGTATCATATAGTCTGGTGGTGGCAATGCCATCCATCCATGTAACTAATATACCCAGCCCTGCCTTTCCATGCAAATGACCCAGGTGCAAAGAACTGTTCAGAAAAGTAGATTGTGGATTACTTTCTGCAGGTGTGATCATAAAACCGCGTTTATATAGATCAAACCACAGCGACAGCGTTAAAGGTTGTGTTTTGAATCACCTGTGATTGACCTGTGGCTCGTATGAACCTGTATGGATGCTGATACTGACTCTCAGCCGGCAGCAGTAACGTTACAGCAAAGGGCGGCTTAAGGGAGTCGACCTCGGATCAAGATGACAAACAAGCTCTAGGATGAGAGCAGAAAATCTTACAATCACAGCAGGTTACACATCAAACGCGTTAGTTATTTAGTTTTTTTTTTTTTTATATATATATATATATAAAACCTTAAATGTTCATATTGAACAGCTATAGCCACAAAGGTCACTCGTATTATCGATCAGCTCAATTCAGGTCAGGAATGATGTTAGCTAGCGTTAAGTCATCGTAACACACTCCCTAGTTTGTAGATATTTTACAATATAATTTATCAAATATTTAAAAAGCAGAGAAGCAGATAAAGGGTAACGTATTGAGCATAATTTAACCTGTTTTTTATTATTATTATTCCAGTCAACCAGCGTTGCAAGCTAACGCTAGCGTCGTTAGCAGCGTAGCTTGTCCCCAGTTGCTCTTAGCATGTTAGCTTATCGCTAGCAGTCATTTACTTACGCGAAAGACTTGAGAGTCACGAAACAGGGAACAAATGTTGAGCCCAGTGTATGGAGTGATACTCGGTGATGTGTGCTACGATCTGTCCGCGTTTCTCCGGCAATTAACAGCGCATTGTTAGCTCGTATTCATTACAGACAGCAGTCTCTGTGTTGTGCCTGCATCGGTCCGGGACGGCAAATTCATGTGCTGCCTTTGCTTGCTGTAGGAAGAATTAAAGTCTACGTTTGGGGATTGCAACTCAAACCAAAAGTTAATTCCTATACGTTTGATGTACAAAGTGCTTCTGGAAGATTGTTTTCTAGAGTATAAACAGTGGATGTTATCACTCAAAGCCTTTGGTTGTTCGACTTGTTTACTAACTGATTACGGAATTGTGTAGTTTACGAGGGGCACTAGAAGGCAGCACGGGCAACTGTTCAAGACAGGCCTAGTTTTACCTGATAGTGACAGGACTTTGATCTTAATTCACATTAAAATAGAGTCAGATATTTACTTTACTAATATTTTTTTACTTTAATAGTTGTCAATAATTCTTAAAAATATATTAAATAAATATATTATGAAATATAATCTACAGTTTTTTCATTTGGTTTTACCTAAACAAGTTTTTTTTTTTTAATACAAGCTTTTGAGACATTTTCCCCAACTACTCTTTATGATATTGTAAACATTTTGATCCAACTGAAGATTGCACTGCGTATGTGCCATGGCATCACATTTAAGTAACTCATAATTTAATGAAGGTTGCATAAATGGGTAAAATGATTATACTTTAATGCGTTGTAAACACACAATTACAAAACATACACACACTTACAGAAAATCAAGTCATGTCACTCCAAGTGTTGATATGTTCCCTTTTTGTACATCAATCACCTTTCTTATTGTTTTTGTTTCAGACACAGTGAGCTATTTATTTTAGAAATTAAATGTATGAACTCTTATGACTCATCTTATCAACTTATCCTCAGTTACTGCAGGTGCATCATCTCTTTCATCCACTTATCTACACTTGTAAAACACTATTACTATACTCTATAGTATCAAAAATATGTTCTAAATGGTTTGGCTGTGTGTCAGGTTAAGGCTTTGGATGAGGAACATCCCTTCACAGTTAGGGAATTTTCCAGTTAGAGAAATCAGCTGAGATACTGCACAAAACCCTCTACTGGGAGAGTTTCACCCTGTGAAATGTCCATATCTCAGATACACGATCTCCCTCTTTATTTCCTGAGATACTGTATAAGCCTTTGCATTTGAACTTCCCTCAAGAACATATGCATTTGTAGTCATTTTTCAGCATGTAGCTGGAATATAGTTTTTTGCTGTTCCCCAGTGTCTTCTGTCTATCAAACATCATCAAATATGCCTGTCCGAGATGGTGACAGAGATAGGTAACGTCCTCCGGTGGACCTACGGTGGCAAACACAGAGAGACAGAGTAAGTGGTTAAGGAAACCTGTTTAATGCAACATCAAGTTCTGTGAGCCATACTGCAAAAAACAAACATACCTCCTGTTTGGTGAACCTTCATCACTGGAATTGTAATGCAGTAAGCCTCTCTGCTGCTCCTCTGTCTCTTCATCTCTTCTGGTGAATGTAATAACTGAGAAAGACAAGAGATGATGGGTATAAGTGATCCTCATACACAAAAGGTTCATTTGAATCAGAGCGAAGAGGGGAGAGTTGTGAGGTGACAAAAATGGTACCTTTTTATTAATTTCTGCAGCAAAAGCAGTAGTATAACAGAATAGACCTGCCTAGTTCACTCTTTTTGTGACTTGTAGATGTTCGACTATGCATGTTGGATAACCTTAACTCCAGTCCCTTACACTGGAGCAAAATCAGAATAGCTTGCTGTGGGAGCAGGGGACAAAGAGGTGTCTCTATCTACCTTGCATGGGCAGGGTGGCAGATGATTAATTTCCTGCACGGGGTAGTGAGTCCAGTGGTCAGCTATATATAAGCAAACTCTTTAAACTCATACAAACATGGATAAAATAAAAAATAAAATCAATCTGCCCAGTCACTGTTTGAAATGTCCTGTCACATCCGTTTCAGTAGCTCTGAGTGACAGAAAACATTTTCATTATTTTATTCCATGACTGGAGTAGTTCTCTTTAATCCCCTACCACTTCTTTTGGTCTCTGTGACAGGGCTGCTCTGGTTATCCTTTAACTCAGTGTAACCAGCTCTGGTCCGCCCAGTAGCCCCCTGGCCTCCATACCGCTCTCTCCAGGCCTGAAGCAAAAAAAAAAACACATGCTGTAAATACCTTGCAACACTTAATACAAACCAGGAGAACCAGTGAGTCAACAGACTGGGTAGATTTTATCTGCTTCTTAGAAAATTGTGAGAAAATACTTGATAGAATAAACATTTCTAACCCATCTTCTGTGTTCTCCATCCTCAGCTTTCTGTCTTTTTCTTCTTTCTACAAAAATGAACATAATTATGACTTTCAGATATACAAATAGGTACATAATAATACATAAAGGTATAACAAATACATAAAAAAAGTAAAAGAATGAGCCAGTGGGAGAACCAGTTTGCCTTTGAACAGATACATTAGAAACAGTGATGACTAAATTTAAGATCAAACTACCTCTTTTGATGAGTTCCCTGCCTTCATCCACCAGGTCAGAGGTCAAGTCGTCATCAGTGATGTACTGATGAAAGCCCAGGAGGTTCAAACAGCGAGAGCCCAGGCTACAGACACACATGCACAGTTACAAATACACTGTTAAACCTATATTCTTTATGTGCTACACAGACAAGAAGATGTGACTAATAAAAGTTTCTCAGAGCTGATTCCTTCCCCGCAGAGTTCCTGTGCAGTACCGTTCTTTCATCCAACAAAAGAGAGCAATTACATGGCCAGTATGGGCAAACTGATACATGAGTGTCCACATTCAAACTACACTTGAATGTAGTCTTTATATTAAACTGATAAGAACATCAGGTTTAGTTGTTAGCAGTTGTTGGCTGTTGTTGGCTTACCTGAAAAAAGTGGCAAAGCAGAGCAGCAATACCAACATGGGATAATAGATGTAGAACCCATCAGATATAAAAGACAGCACACGCATTGAGCCCATGATCTGAAAGAGGGAAAGAAAAAGAGACATTGCATTGCTCCATCTGGATTGAACGCAGAGAGATTTTGACATTGCTTCTTATATATTTTTGGTGATTATACACCCTTAGGCTCTTATCTGTGATTGGTGCATTATGCCTGTGTAAGTACAGTATGAGTGTTCCTTTAATATGTCTTTGTAGTATGTATGTGTGTGTGTGGTGTGTGTGTGTGGTGGTTGTGTGTGTGTGTGTGTGTGGTGTGTGTGTGTGTGTGTGGGACCCACAGAGGTGTAAGATGTCTGTATTCTGTCCTGGTGTGAGATGGCGGAGTCCAAGTGAATTAGGCCCAGAAAGTTGAGGCACAAAGGCGGGGTCAGACGACAAAACAACCTGAGCGGGAAAAAGAAAGAGAAGCAACCCGACATTATAATGCTCTTTTAAAGTCGTGTCCTTTGATACAGTTTACGTTAAAACCTCCCACTCATATAAACAGGTGTTTAAGAACACAGTTGGGTAGTAACTGATTACATGTAATCACAATTACCAAATGGGATTACAATAATAATGATAATATATTATATTATAATCATCATTTGAAAAAAATGTGTAATAAGATCACAGTTACCCTGTCAAGAATTTAAATTTGAACTTCTCTTTGAAATATGGTAATGGTTTAAGAATCATCATGATAACAAATGCTCTAATAACCCTTTGGGCTGTACAGATCTTGATAGGGGTATGTTATTCAATTGTGCAATGTGTTTGAGATCAGAGCTGCAACACACATGTACTTGTTGTATTCTGTAACTGACTACATTTCAAAGTAATCTGACCCAACACTGCTCTTACACCTATAATGTGAAATATCTTATATTATGACTTTATGAGGAACGTACATGCCGCTGAACTGCAGGCTATAAGCGTCAGTCTGATGATGTGGCACCAGGTAATAGTAGTTGAAAACTCGTATCCTGAACACTGTGGAGTATACACAGACACACAGGAAGAGGATGCTGACAAAGCACACCATCTGGTGGGGAGAAACACAACAAGAAAAGATAGGAGGCAGGTTAGCTGGTTTAGTACAGTGTTGGATGGATTAGATAATGTTCCCTAGTAACTATAGATTTTTTGCTATCAGCCCTGTATGTTTTTGTTTTTGTTGAGTGTGTTCATGCTTAATGAAGCGTAGGTTTGTTGTGCCCTTCTGTGTGCGTCACTAAATGCATGCCCTACCTCGATACAAATGTAGTTGTATTGTTTTTCAGCCATGTGAACGAAGACTGCGAAGAGGGAGAGGACGGGGCGCGTGCTGAAGAAGGTGCACTCGGACCAGACTACTGCTGCTGAGAGGAGACACAGGAGAACTGCCAGCAGCCTGTAGAAACTCTGCCTAAACACACACTCCCAGTACCACTCTGAGAAAGACACACACACACACCCATAACAGACATTTGAAGTGTTTAATTATACAATGTTTCCCTAAGATTTGTGTATTTGACCAGGTGGTAAATAACACTTCAGCTTTTTAACTGAATTAGGGAAATTCTGGGATATAATAGGCCATTAAAAACATTATTGAACTATTAGGTAAAACTAAATTAGCAAAAAACAAAGGTCTCCCAGAAAAGGGGCCATAAAATGTCTTTTCTCATAAAACTAGAGTACAAGTTTCTATTCAAGCAGGTAGTTTAGGGCATTTATCTGGCAAATTGGGTCTGAATTTATACTTATTAGAAGGCCAGAATGGAAAGTTAAGTCTCACAGAAGGGAAATAATCAGAAGTGCCTTGTACTTTGAGAACATGCTGTACTTTCCATCTGTAAATTTGATATGTTGGCACTGACTGAACTCACCCACAGTAGGAGAGTAAATGAACTTATGGATCCAGCCGTAGTGGTGTGCTGAGGGGAAGCTGTGGGCGAAGTGTCGGACTGCGCTGCTTTGGCTTTTAGCTACATCTTCTAAGTGAAAAGCCTGGTCTAACAAGATAGACCACTGAACCTGAGTCTGACCCTGTCTCTGCACTGCAAAGATTACCTGAAACACACACATACAGTACAGGAAAACAGGGAGAATAATTGTCGTCATATTTTCCTTTAAAATCACAGTGCCACGTTAAAAATAATAATTACTTTTTTATGAAGATTAATTAGGCCTCTTTTGGTAGGAAGGACACTCTGTTCACCACCAGAGTTTTCCACATTTCTTCCCATCTCCTCTTGGTACTCAGTGGGACACTGAAATGAGATGACACACTCAAATGAAGACTGTCCCACAGAACCTGACTGTAAAAACTGTAAATGCAACATTAAACTTTGAAAAGGAAACCTTGTGTTGCCCTGTGAATTTGATCACGTATTTCTCACCTTTGTCAAAATGGTGTCCACACACTTCCTGAAATGGTGGTTGTACCTGACAGATTCATGGACGCCTGCCACATTCTGATAATAAGAAATATTTTATATAGTTTTATACATACAAAGTCTGTATAAAGGATTCTCTTATGGACTTACGGACTGAACACCTGCTGGAATATATAACACAGAACTGCTCACTGACCTCCATAACATCTGCTAGGTTCTCCTCAGCTGCTGCTTTCTCAGTAGCCATTTTTGCCACCTTGAAGTAGGTCTTGGCCAGCAGGTAACCATGGGAAGATGAGAGCCAATAAGAACGTGGGATCTCCACCAGTCCGTAGCCTAGCAACAGCACTAGGAGGAAGAGGCCCCAGGTGTTGGCAGCTGTAATGCCGATGGTCTGGAGCTCTCTCCTGCACAAGTTTTACAAATACACAATAAAACAGATAAATCAATGCACTGATATAATGCCTCACTCATCAGAACTCACTGTGTTATTCTTACTTTCTTTAGTCCCATTAGTCATCTAATGTTTCTTGAATTGAGGTAAGTTTGACTCACCATGAGAGCTGCCACTGTGGGTGAGCAGCCACGTAGATGAGCAGGGAGATGAAGATAAGGAGGTAGGTGCCGTAATAGATTGCATTTTCAATGAGAGCCGTTTTAATCTTTCCAACTCTGGAGAAAGCTCCCGACCGCGCATACGACTGCATGAAGGGCAGCAGCAGCCTGCACACACAGAAACATACACACACACAGAAGAGAGAGAGTCAATACACCAAAACATAATTGTCTTTGTAACAAAAGGTGGAACAGACAGCAGTTATAGTTGAGGTTTGGGTGTGGTAGGATGTGTGGTAGGACCTTACCATGTAAGAAACTGGGAAGTCCAGTATACAACTCTCCAGAAAACGGGCAGGACACCGTCTGGGATATAACTCCATGGCTCCACACAAGCCTTCGGTATACTGTAACACACACAGAGAAAAGAATGTGAACATATGTTATTAACAACAGGTGCAAGTAGACTCTGAACAGGGCAACTGTAGCAGTGATGTGACCTTAGTGTCTGTTTAAATACCAACACTTGGTGCTGCCAAAGTCAGAAATGTTCCTACACTTTTCACCCCAATTATTGAGAGCTTACTATTTCTTCAATATGAAGTAGTGTGGATAGAAACTAAGTAGCACCAGATTAAATGGGGAACTGTTTATTAAAATAAATGTAGGTGCTGGCACCATAAATGGAATTTAATTTAACTTCATTGTACTGGGGTGGAGGCAGAAAGAAGATCTTAAAACTTGAGAACAAATTATGTGAATACCATCTGCATGGCGAGATACAACAAGAGATTAGTGAAAAAAACAGCATTTTAACACCGTATACTGGTTGCTGGAGGCCTAAACCCTTGAATTTGTCATCCAACCCAGTTTGACAGTTCAAAATCTATAGTCTAAGAAACACTTTTGACCAAAACTGAATTATTATAATAAAATGGAGCAAATAAGGTTACACTGCATACAGTTTGTATGAAGCACTTGTTGGAGGAAATTGTGTTATTTACATAACCTACATGTGTTTATTTCAATCAAAGAAAGAATTATTGTTTCATCAGAAAGCAACACAGGAGCATGGACCATTTTGTTGTGCTGAGCTTAGGAAGTTTGTTATTGAGCACTTTTTAATCACAAGGGAGAGACAGTGTGTGAGACAGTCTTTTCCCCAAGAGCTGTATCTATGTGTTTGGATCCTCCTGTCCCGCAGGAGTTTAGGATAAAGTTCAGGTAGACAGGTGTGTCACTAAGCAAACAGTTGTCATAGCACAAGACTCTAAAAGACACATTTACTTGTATAATGGCGCCTCTTAGTGGGTAAAAGTGTAATGGCATACAATCCCACAATACCAATCAGGAATATTCTAACCCATCAGGAGGAGCGTCACATGAAAGGTTTAAAAATTGCTGACAGGAGAAATGTTGTTGTCTTAAATTCTGAATACTTTCCTATTCCAGATTTGTATTTTCAGTGTATATTCAAAGTCAAAAAAAGATTCATGTCCCTCCACCTCACAATGTTTAGCAATCATTACCAATGATAGAGGAAACAACTACTAAAAAAAGGAGCCAAGTTGAATTTTGAAGTAAAGGTCCACACAATAACACGTTCCCTGCATGAATCACATTCCTTCAACTTACTTTCATTTCATATTGTCGCCTGTTCATCCCTGCAGTGGCTCTTTGCCCCACAGTTTGTAAACTACTGTACTAGATGAAGTAGAGAGTTTTGTTCTTCTGTGTCTCAGTGTTTGGTTCCTACGAGCCTGATAGTGGTTATTTGTTTAAAGTTACTGAAGGCCTTTCAACGGAAGAAGATAAACCACAACACTCAGAGTGAAAGAAAACCACTGAAACTGATAACAGCCACTGAGTTTTGCTTTGCATTTGTCTTTCAATGTGGTGTCAATTATTACCATTATAATCAGTTTCTATCATTTCAAGCAATATATATTTATATAGAGATTAAATAATATTTGCTTTCATACTTTTCTTAGCCAAAAGATTATACATTGTTGTCATGTTGGGTGGCCAATCTGAAGGAATACATTGCCTTGAAATGATCAAACTGTGGCCTCATAAATTAAATGATCTTATTTACCTGATGGTTGGAGAAACTCTGTCAGTCGTCTGGTTTGCATTGTCAAGGACACACTGCTTGTAGATGGTCTAAAAGAGGAGCAGATGTGATGTGACATATTCATCACATGACAACGGTACAGGTAAGACGCCGGAGGCAAGAACAGCGTAAATAACCACACAGCTGAACCTCACTCAAAAACACACACAAACTCCCATCCTGTTGATCCTGTTTTCTATCCTGACAAAATCCAAGCAAGTATGGGAAATAAAAAAAGACTATATGTTACTTGACACACACTTTAAAACGACCGCAATGGTTTCATACCGTGCTGACATCGAGCGGCAGGATGAAGACGATGAGGAAGCAGAGGTACCAGGACAGCAGCGTCCCTAACAGGACCATCCGCTGCTGCTTCCGCAGATCTCCATAGCGCTGGAGGAGGTAGAGGGCCAGGAGGAAGACAACCACGACCACGACAGCCAGCGCAGCACCACTCATAGCGATGAAGGAACAGGGCACGAGGTCAAGAAGTCATGATCACAGACTGGAAGGGGCCAGGAGAGAGAGGGAGAGATAAAGAAATAACGAGAGAGGGGAGTAAAGAGGAGCTCATTGGCCAAACTGCAAACAGATTAAGGGACGTTATCTGCTGTTATCTGCTGGATAACAGGGAGAAACGCTCTGACCTCAACGCTCACCGCAAAACACATACATGATATAGCAATGAGGTGAGGAGGGAGAGAACGGGGGGAACTAAAAAAAGGGAAAAAGTTGAATAGAGGAACAAATGAGGGAAAAATACAAATGAAGTGAAGGGAACGGATAAAAAGTTAAGTTAAAAGGACCATGGCAGAGGTTTTGAACACTTTAGCCCATTTAAGTTATGGTATGTATTTATTGTTATTATTTTATTGTTTTCATCCTAACCGGTTACTATTGTTAAAGGCCCATTTATTTATTGTTTTTATCTCATGTATTCTAACCCTAAAGTGTATCCACGTCTGTGTGTGCAAACTATCTTCTTCGTGTCAGTTTGTTTCATTTCCACTTTTATGACACCATGTGCCTTGAAGATGAATTTTCACGTGAGTGGACAATAAAGATTTTTATTTTACTCAACTACAGATCAGATATACTTACTATAACTACACATTGAACCCTAATCCTTCTGCTGTTCGGACACTTGAATTTATGTTTGTATGCTGTTTGTCACAGTTATGTTTTAAAGGTAATGAAGTACACACATTTATTTAAAATGCAATACCAAACAACAACAATGTAGCTGTGACCACAACTCATGCAGACTTTATGTTTACTGTGATGAATTACACAGATATAGAAAGAGCATTATTGATGTCATGAGGTAAAAAACAAACAAAATGGAAATCAAAGGGTGCCAAGAATGATCCACAAGCCTACAACTGAGTACTAGCATGCATTTAAAAATGGTACACAAAAACAAGTAAATAATAAGGTTATAACAATTAAACTATGCAAACACACAGGTTGGCTATTTGTCTTTAAATTCTATTTGGACGTTCAAACAATGGTGCTATTAAAAGCACAGTAACCGCAGTCTAATATAGAAATATTATCTAAAACCACCTCTCACTCTTTTTCACTTCTAATAGCAGAAATTCAGCGACAACAATTTGTGTCATTCCTGCACTGTGGTCCAGCTCCAGGAGAAACACAGCTGTACCGGACTCTGGTCCCGGATTGTCGGTCCATCGGTTCGGACCGACTCGGTGAACGAATGGTTACAGAAAGCAGAACCGAAGAGACTCTTACCTGTTTCCGTTTCTTCTCTCAGGCTGAAGCTCGAACACCGCTAAAGAAACGTCTGCATTTATTGTCACATCGTGTTCTTCAGACGTGGAGTCCCTCCCGACAAATGTACACAACCTTTGAAACTACATCACGTAACAGCGTGCTCGCTCTCTGGTGCAGCAGGGAGTTCTGGGTATTGTAGGCGATGTCTCCAAACAGGAAATCAGACACTGAGACCCCTCACTGTTGCAAAATATTGTGACAGTGACCTACATTTGAGTGTCTGGCTATGTGTATAAATATATTGGAAATCAGTGGTGTTAACTAAGTAGCCGACATTAGTTTACTCAAGAATTAACTAGGTATTGAACTTTACTTGAATTTTTTATTTACCTATTTATCTACTTTAAATACAATTTCAGACAGTAATGTTGTTGTTTTTTTATTCCACAACATGATTCTTCATTTTAATTAGTCTACTTAAATTATTTTTAATCAATTAATTGAATTTAATTCAAATTGTAATGGCATTTCTTACTATTTTTCATATTTTTTACAAACAAAACGATCAATCGATTAATGGAGAATATAATCAGAAGATTAATCCATAATTAAAATAATCGCAGTCCCATACAAAACAGTAAACAATGAGCTCAACTATCTTCAACACTAAAGTCCTGCTTTTCCATTAATGCGTAATAATCTAATAAAATATAATAGTATAATACTCATATTTTTAATTTTAAGTACTTTTATTTGAGAGAAGATCTGAATACTTTCTCCACCACTGTAGACATTATAGAAATAGAAATAGAAGAAGAAAATAGTCCACATACAGTAGATGGTGAGATTATAATTTACTATTTATACTATAGATTTTTCTTTAGCCACAAAACGCTGCAAGAAATGTGATTTTATAATGTATATTTATACAAATCAGAATCAGAATCAGAAATACTTTAAAATATTAAGCGCTGTATTCCAAAAGTTGTATTTTTAATTTAGATCAAGGGCTTAAGGTTTGACAGTGTCGCATGTACAGACTGTAAAGCTCTCCCAGATAAATTTGTGATTTTGGCCTAAATAAATAAAACTCTTTCAATAACTAAATGTGACTTTTCTTTACAGACATAAATATTGCACATTATAAACTTGTAACATTATATGAGAAGGAGAAGGGGGTGTTTCTAATAAACTGTGGAAGCATATTGTGTGCAGATATAAAGTGACCATCAGCAGGAGGATGCAACTGAATACTTTCAGACACACAATCACATTTTTTGACAGATTTTATCCCATTGTGAGATTTTATTGCAATGGTACCAAATATTGTCTCAGTTACTTATCTCATTCAGATTCAAACACACATTGAATAAAGATACAACACAATTGTGCAGAGAGTTTTTCAGACATGCATTGTGATGTTTCATTACACACTAAAACATACACACTTTTTTAAAAAGCTGAATTGATTTGCAAAGGCTTCCAGTTATTATTAGCATCCAGAAATGATTGTTTTACAGTGGATTTCCGCTTTGGCCATGATGCACATTCAGTCACATGAAACCAAATTAAATCAAATCACACACTTGTACACAGTTTCTCTTTTAGAAACTCTTTCCATTCGGTCCAAAGCATTGATTGTGATTGAGATCTTTTGCTGTACCTCGTGGTTTAAATGCTGTCCACCCAACAAAATTTAAACATCAATCCATTTCAGTTGCGGAGGAACATCCACACATATGGGTCGTCAGCATACAGAGGGCCCAGTATGTTGACGCACACAGCTCTGTGTTCCAGTAGAAAGTCCATCTGGCTCAGCAGATCCAGACACAGGTGTTCTACAAGACGCAGACAGACAGACCAGTCTTCAACCGCTCTGGGCACACCCAGTGCATTCATCCAAAGTGACCCAAAAATGTCCAGAGATTCTGGCCAGTCCTCCAGAAGATTGTCCATCAACTCCATCTGGGTTTATAAATAATAAGCAAAGCAATATTGTATTATCCACAGCTCAGTGTATAGAGGAGTATTCCATTTTCTGGTGTCTGTGTTGGGTGTCTGTCATTACTCCTCTCTGTGTCTCCGTCGCTTTGTTTCTGCAGTGCTCGGCTAATTGCCCTGATCCAAACAGATACAGTACAGTACAGATAAAACCTGGCAGCATCGACAGGTGCTTAGTGAGGCCATCTGTCAGCCTACATTCTCACATTAACCTCTCCTCTCTCTCCTCTCTCTCTATCCTCTCTCTCTCTCTCTCTCTCTCTCTCTGTCTCTCTCTCTCTCTCTCTCTCGGATTACTGTAATAACCATTCAGACCCTAACGCCTGATATCCTCCGTATTCTCATTGATAAATCTGTGTGAATGAGATTTAGTCATTTGTCTATTGTAGATTATATATTGATCAAGTTTTTTTAGATCATTACTCTGCTCCAGTTCTGAATTGAGTCTTGCCATACTCTGTGGGATCTCACACCTTGCACATGGACAGGTAGAGAGACAGATACACTCATATTCACACATACTGGAAAATATTGGTCACTGTTTAACTGCATCTGAAAGACTTTGGCTTGTGAGAGGAAATGTGAACACGCACCAAGAAAGTGTGTATGTGTGAAATCAGGATTTGTGGGAGATATTCTGTTCAGCTGAAGTTCTCCTCTGCTCCAAATTATGTGTATCTTCTTGTTCCTAGAGTTAGAAATGAACACATTTTGCATATTCATATTGTGTAACTTTTAATAAGGTAGAAGGAGTAGATGCCTTTTAAAGGATTTTAATGAGGAAATTCAGCTTTTTTGGTATAAGAAACACATCAGACACACACCCTTGTTCCAAACAGATTATGTATACATGTTGTACACAATACAGTCTGGAGGGGATTTTAAAAAATAAGATGGCATGATACAGTTTTTGTTATTATCCAGTGGCTTAAAAATACTGTTACTGTTTTAACTTGTCTGTTAAGCAAACTGTTGATTAATGTTTGCGCTCAGTTGAGTGGGTTTCCTAATTTACAGCTGCCACCACCAGATGGAGGTAATGAATTTGTTCTTATAGCTCAGCAAGGAACCCATAGGGAAGTTTGTGAAAAGATGAGGCAGATATAAGCTCAGTTGACAGTTTATCAGGCTCACATAGCTAAAATGAATGCAGTCTAATACAACAGTCACACAATAAATCCTACTTTAATTAAGGTTATAATATTCAGCTTTTTATTTAGTTTTAGAGAGGTGTTGATCCAACTGCATGATTAACAAATGCAACACCTTGGTAGCATTTCTACCAGAATCTTAAGTTTCAAGTTTATGTCTGCTTGTCATTTTAATTACAAAAATATAGCTGTATGTAAGTAAATCTAATTTCTCTTAGGACCACGGTATAAAAACTGTACTTCCATAAATGTTTCTCATGTCTTCCAACTATAAATAACTTCACAACAAATTGCATAAACATAGTATGATGTATACTGACACAGTTGCACATGATGCTGATGATGATGATGATTATGATGTTGATTCTTTTTCCGATTATTGTACTCAAACTCTAAATTAGACTTCATACCATCATGTTTCTATGAAAGCATGCGATTCATTAGTGGAAAACAGTAATCATACAAAAACTGAAAAGAAATCCTTCCAGTTATTCATCTAAGAGTTTAGACCCCTGAGACTGTTAAGATGAGATACTAGTTGTCTCTCCTTCATGCTATTGTCTCCTCTTTCTTTATTCTATTGTTATTAATCACTTTAATCTTTTATTTATGGAGAGATGAGCTTCTTCAACCATTTGTTTATAATACAAAACAAGAAGGGTGTCATATTTTAATCTTTGAGAGCCTCAAAAACATCTTTAACAAAGACTCGGTCAGGTTTCTGGTCTTTCCCCTTGGCACCACAGGGCGCTGATTATTTAGGAAACTCAAACCTCGTACCAAAGCCTGATGCTATGATAATAGGACAGAGTGGAGCCAGTGGTGAGGAGTCATTTAATTTACAGAAGATAAGACAGCAAACTCACTTACAGCCTGTTGCAAAGACACAGGTGAACCTCATTAAGGTAATTAACACCACACATTGCAAGACAATCAGGTATTTATATAGCAACCAATCAGCATCCAGCACTACAACAAGGAAGAGGGTACACACTGGCAGTGGTGTGAGACGTACAAAAAAAAATTTCTGAAATAAAAGCAGCAATAACACTGTAAATACTCTGTAACAAGAATCAAAAGTAGCTAGTATCAAAATATGCTCACAGTATCAAAAATAGTCATTATGCAGAATGGGCAACTCCAAAGTATTAGCCAGGTATCTATCTGTACCTAAATTGTTAAAATACTCTATTGGACTCCTGTTAAGCTTTATAGGGCACATATTAAAGATAACCAGGGAAGATGGAGATGCAGGTCTGATCGTACACTGGTGCATATACTTTGTCTATGAGTGATGATTCTGAAAGATCTGTTGTATTTGCAACATCCACTTAACTTTGTTGATGAATGTGGCACAAACAGCTTTTATGTTGGGCTGAACTCTTGCTGTACAACAAACCAATCTGACCAAGTCTTTGACTTTTTTGAAGTATTACTATTTGTATGCATGCGAATAGGGTTACTTCTGGATGGATTTCGTCCACATATTCTGTAATGCTGTCTCTTCTTTTTCTTTTTTCTTAGTATTGTTTTTCTGTTTTCCAGGATCTTCAGGCCTGCATGCATGCATGCCTATACTTGAGTCAATGTGTTGTGAATAATATTACTGTTTTGCAGCATGCAGACACTGTGGACTTTGGAGTTTGTGCATTTGCTCATGCATGCATAATGCAGGAATGGTTATTTTTGTTTCCTGTCAGTGGCTACTGTTGGGGAACAGGTAAAAGACACATTCTGCAGTGCGGTCACAGCATGATGTATTATAGTCTTTATATAATGTAAACTGTGAAAACAAACAAAGAAATAATTTTTAAAAAGTATTGTCCATTTCAAAATCATATACTGTATTATATATTGTTCAAATAATATAATTTAAGTTAATAGTTAATTGATGCACAAGCACCACTTTAACTTTTCTGGTAAAGATGGGGCTATTAGTTGATCTTTTTTTTTATTTATGATTTGAATCTGCAAAGTAAATAGTCACTAAAGCTGTCAGATGAATGTATGGGAGTGAACACCACAATATTTCCATCCAAACGTTAGTGGAGTAGATGTATAAAGTAAATCGAATCACTCAAGTAAAGTGCAAGTACCTCAAAATTGTACTTGTGTGCAGTACTCAAGTTCTCTCCACCACTGGGGACTGACACACTATAAAATGTGTGCAAGGTCCAGCAAATGATCACGGTGTCATCCATGCATGAAAGCACAATTTGTTTAAACTATTGAGATGATTAGAACAGTCTTCTCAAAAGTTCCTCATTTTGCTTTTAACACGATCACATCAGTGGTGTGGAACAGAAGGGATTCCTTGTTGGTGAGCGGGGGAAGTTTGTTTTCCTGTGTGTTAAACTCTACCTCTGAGCCCAGTCTGCTACTGTTACTGAGTGTCTAGACTTCCTCTGTCTCTTCCGCTGCCTCTACTCACTCTTTCTCATCAGAGTTCAGTTCAAGTCTTCAGTCATTCTTATCCATGTGTCTAGCATCTCCTCTTCTACCCCTCACTCCCTGCCACCGTCACTACTCCTTCTCCATATCCAGACGACGAGCCACTGGGACAACGTCCAGTGTGGCCTCATTCAGATCAGTGAGAAACAGTGTGTGAAACAGCCTCGTCTCCCATCGTGCTCATTGAACAACAGCTACGAGTGCGCTGAGACCCCTGGGTTTGAAGTCTCTAACATTTGATCCATGGGAAACCCTCATGCACAATAACGCCGGCGAACAATGTGGCCCCAGTTCTGTGTGTCCCCAGAGGGCCACTGTAGACTGCAGATCTTATAACCTGTCCTGGATACATCACTCCCCTGGGAGTGGACCACTCCCATCTGAAACGACTGGCTTGGTGGAGCAGCCTGGGCCAGCTAGAGTTACACACACTCAGTGGTGCTGAGATTGAGGGTATGACCTGTATGCATTTGTGTTTAAAATGTGCATGTGTGTATGAGAGAGGGAAAATTTGGGACACCTATAGGTTGCTGATGACATCATTTACTGTAGTTACAGTAGTAGTAAAATAGTTGATGTGGTGATGAAATTGACAAACTATTAGCCTCATTTTCTTCATCTTCTTGCAAAAGAAAACTGCAGCCAGTCACTATTTCCTCTTTCAGGAAGTCAAACAAACAATAAATTCCCAAATTTCCAAATTTGTGTTTCTAATATGTCTCTCTTGCTGTAATTCTGCACTTTGATCCCTTTACAGTCAATCCCAGCAGAACATGTGACACTGTTAAAGGCACATGGGTCCTGTGGTCAAACAATGAATGAACAGATCGTCACATCGGGATGGAAAAACAGAAACCCATTTTGTTCCACATTCCTACGGTAATCTATTTAACAGAACTGAGACCAGACTTCTAACAGAAGTATTTGAGGCACTGTGATCTTCTAAACTCACAGACTCTTATGTAAGAGCAGAGAAGTTGTTTGATCTGGGGTAGGCTGGGTGAGAGAAGGAAGATGTTGCAGTAAAATTTACAGTAACTGATTAAAAGGGGGAAAAAAAACGTCATGTAGAATCTTTGTAACCTTTAACATCACCATATAAATCAATCATTATATATATTAGAAGGATACTTCTTCTAAGGATTTTAACCATAACCACTATGCCAAACAATCATTTCTCATTAAAAACAGTCTTCTATTGTCACACAATAAGCAAAACACTTTATTGAGTGCAGGGGGACTTAAACATTGAGGTGACTAGCAGTTTTTTGTCCAAATGGTAAGGTGAACCCCCGTGATGTCCCCACTATGTAATTAACACAAGAATACACACAAACACAGTCTAAAGGCAACACATTTTCTATCCAGCATCCATGGCAATGTGTCACATTCACCTGTTTCTCTGTTGTTTCTGTTTTACGGCGGGATCCCTAATTCTTTTTCTTTTTTTTCTTTCCTTTCTTCAGTTTACTAGTCCGGCTCCTAAGCTGACCCCATCAGCCGATCCCTTGCTTTGCTCGCTGAAGACAAAGGAGGCTGTTGTCTGTTGTTACTTGTTGGGATAGCTGTGTCTTGGATGCCATGTGGGTCGCTGCGGTGAGGGTGAGGAATTGTGAGGTCTCAATTTAAAGCTTTCCAGATGAGCTGCGGGTAATGATGGGAAAGGCAGGGATTTGGACTGTCAGTATTGGCGTCACACAAAACAGACACACACACGCACACACATACCAATGTCCACTGACCAAATCAGATTATGGATAAAGTTAGTGAAGTTACTGAACTACTTTCAGGTGATTTTGTTTGGAAATCTTTGCACCTTACAAAGATTTATAAGTCAGAAATGTATTTTTATTTATTAAGGACTTAATAACTGACGCTGGTGCTGTCATATCAGTTACTAACTCCATCCTTAATGCTATCTGTTTAGTACTGTTTCTGTTCCCAGCCCCTTTACAGCAGCAGACGAGAAGAGCCAGTGAGTGTTTCTACATCTCAGGATGTAGGGCAGACATCTCCTTTTAAAAATGTTTCCTTTGATCCTAAACAACATGCAGCTGTTATTTATGGCTACAAGTGTAGCTCCTGCAGGATGATTTAGAGAGTGTTGTTTTGCCAATAGTCTCTTGCCGATCCTTCAGGAGACTAATCTGAAACACCAACCAAATAATACACTCAGTGGCTATTTTATCAGGTACACCTGTATCATCTCGTGCAATCCAATACAACAGCTCAGCCATGAATTCTACATTTACAGACATAATAATGTTCAGTTTTGATTGACATTGTCGGGTATGAATTTAACTATTTTTTTGTTATTAAAGTTGTTACATTAAGAGGTGTTTCTAATAGTTCACTAAACCTATTTACAAGGGATGGAAACCAAATTAGAATTAGGTAAAAGAAGGATTAGAAATATAATTTAATACAATCCAGTCCAGTACAATAACACCAGTGACCACAACTTAAATAATAAACATATTGAATTGACCCCTCTCTGACGGTATCAACAAAAAAGCAACATTGTGATCTCATACTCAAATACTCAATGCATTTGTGTTGTATTGGATTATATTAAATGATATAGCTCTACATAAATTGCCAGGGAGTATATATTTTCCAGCCCACATGATTCTTATACTGAGGAAAAAGATCTACTTACTACATGAGCAGCATGGAATGTTATTACAGTGTACATCAGCAGAGGATATCAAGATTCTTGATATATATGATTTAAAAAAGCATTTTAAAGGTGGAGTCAGTCATTCTGGAGCAAGATAGTTGATTGCTGAGTCTCATTCCCAGGTCGTCAAATACTAACATTTTGGCAAAAGAGTCACTATGTGAATGGTTTAAATATAACACTAATAGGCTTTTCATCAGTCTATCTTCATCTGAATAAATGTCATAACAGTAGTGATGTAATGAGTTTTGCAGCCACTGACAATGATAGCCGGCTGGTGCACTAATAAGACAGAGACTCCGCCTAAACTCAGACTGAAGTGTGGAGAGAAGCTGTTCAATGTTTCTGAGACCCAGGGGAGGACAGAGGAGGATCATGAAACAGTACATATTCTGTCTCCCTGCAATTCAGACTGTAATTGCCTGTTTGTTCAAAGCTAATGATGGTTACTCATGCATCTCAGAGGAGCAACAACCGTGTGCTTTTCTTTGTTGCTCCATTATTTCATGAATACTGATTACAGTCTGAAAGTCACAGCTCCAAGTATTTGCTCTCTGATTGCAAACATCTTGATCTGCAGTATGCTCATACACGATTGTCTTCAGATTTAAAGGTTTAAATTTAAATTTATGTGAACTATTCGCCATTGCAATTTGACTTTTTCTTTTATCTAATGTCCATTTGGTTACGCTTTTAGCTCTCTTGTTTTCTGCTTGCTAGTTTTTTTTTATCAAGAGCAAGAAATTACAGCATTTTTCATTAAGAAACAGTATCATACAGTCTGTCTCATCTCTGGAGAATGCTCCAACTGTAAACCTGACTCTAACAGGCACCTGTGTGAGAGACAGTAGAGATCATGATGTCAGTGCCAGTGAGGCTGTACTGGTCATAAATACCATACATTGGACAAATTGAAATTTAGATCTCATGAGTTATTACAGTTCACCCTGTGGAGAACATGAATATCTGTACCAAATGTCATGGTAAAATCCATCCAATAGTTG